ATGAAAAATTATAGACAGACCTATCTGTAATCAAAATGGTCACAAAGCTAATATCATTGATTCGAGATGGATATTTAAACGCAAGTTAGAAGCGAAAAGCAAGACACGTCATAAACCAAGGTTAGTAATTCGAGGTTTTAACGATCGAAATGTTTACGAACTTAGAGAAACTTATGCTCCAGTATCCAGAATACACTTCGTCAGGGCAGTATTTGCTATTATCAATAAATACAACTTAGATACATGTCAATTGGACGTTAAAACGGCGAATGGAAATCCCTGAAGAGACTCCACATTCTGATCTGGTAAGAGAAACTAAAGTTTGTAAGCTGGAGAAGTCTCTCTATGGACTTCGAATTAGTCCCAAGCGATGGAACAAGAAATTCACTGAAGTAGCCATTGTTGTAGGACTTGAAAATTCTGATCTCGAGCCTTGCTTATTTACTTGGAGTCATGAGGATGAATTCTTAATCTTATTGTTATATGTAGATGACATTATTATCGCGAGTAATGACAAATTTAAGTTGGATGAGGTTAAATCACCACTGAGTTCTGAATTTGAAATGACTGTTCTAGTAGAACCAAAAGAATTTTTAAATATCTCAATAAAACGAGAAGAAAACGAAGAAAACGATAGAAAATTAGTCAGTAAATTGCCCAAGCTCTACAAAAAGAAACAACTACTACTACTCAAGCGCATTGTTACATGCAAAAACTAATTAAGTCAAGCATTCACATTCTATTCATCAGACTCGGCATCCCGAGCAACCTGTCCTTGGCGTCGCAAGGACATAACCTGAGGCATCATTTAAACCTCTGTTCTTTAGCTATGAACTGTTCCCAAACCGGGAATTCCTCACAACTAGAGGTTACCAATTCCCAAACTGGGCCTTCCTCACGACTGGAGGATACCAATTCCCAAACTGGGACTTCCTCACGACTGGAGGATACCAATTCCTAAACTGGGACTTCCTCACGACTAGAGGATACCAATTCATAAACTGGGACTCACCTGGAACACAGTTGTTCCAGAAAAAAGTTCCATATCCATTTTTATTCATCATAATGTACCAATCTATTTACATGAACTATTTTCAATTTTCCACGAGAAAATTTTTGTATCCTATACACAACATCGTTAATTTTTGTTCTTATAACGTAAGGTTCATCCCATTGCTTTTGCAATTTCGGTGATTTTCCTTTGACTCTCTGGGGGAAGAAAAGCCAAACTTTCTCACCGACTTTGAATGCTAGCATATGAGCTTTTGTATCGAAATTTGTTTTCAAGTTGTCACTCTTCAGCCTCTCCTGAAGTTCCGATACGAATGCTGGAATGGTTTTATCGGAAGGATCATCTCTAGAGGGAAATTCTCCACGAATCAAATCTAGAGGTAATCGCAGTTCGTGTCCCAACATAAGCATTGCTGGGATGAATTCCGTTGTGTTTGGTGAATGACTAGGTTTAGGGTGGTTGTGGGATGAAAATGTGGAGGGAGATGTTAGGAAAATTACTGATGAGCCGGATTTAAAAAATCACACTTTATTTTGTGGGATCGAACCACTTTGTCAAAATTTATGTACACTCTTTGGTAATATGTTATTTCACTGGTGATAGTCCAATTTCACTGATGATTGTCCTTGCACGTTAATTTGGTGAGTCACTGAATTTAAACTGAATTTAATCAACAATGGTGATGTACTGAACGAAGGTATTAAATTTGGAATACTAATTGACTGAATTTACTATATCATTATCATGTCGATACTGAAACACAACTGAAGTGACTGACTCTTCCGGGCGCCGCGCTAACCTGTGTCCGAGTTAGTTGAACGTGACCAATATGGAGATTTTAGCTGAATTTCGAACACCGCGGGGGCAATTCATCATCAGGGATGATGAATTAATGGTGATTCTAGTTCTGTTGAGCTTCTTCTGCATCATCGTCTGGAGGTTGCTCTGGAGCTGGTGGATCTGATGGCAGCAGGCAAAGCTTGGTGATTGGTCTGTCAAGCTCTGTGTATTTTTCTAATGTTTTGAATGATTGGTGATCCATCTGCCTGCCTTGGTACTTCTGCTTTTGCTGTTCTTATGGTTGCGACTCTTGTTAGCCCATCTGCTCCTGGGCGTGTCACAATGACTCGTCCGATTGGTCATTGTGCTGGTGGATAATTTTCATCGATCATCAGCACCATGTCGCCAACCTTGATGTTCTTTTCTCGGTGCGTCCACTTATAGATTGTTTGATAACGTTGAAGACACTCTTTGGCCCACCTGGACCAGAATTGTTGAGTTAGCTGCGTTACCAGGTTCCATCTCTGCAGTTTGCTGGGGTTCTTGTCGATGGTTGATGGTTCTGGAATCAGTTGAAGAGGCTCACCTATCAGGAAGTGTCCTGGGGTGAGTACTTGGAGATCGTCTGGGTCCTCTGACATGGGACAGATTGGCCTGGAATTTAGGCAGGCCTCTATCTTGATCACGACACTGTTGAATCCTTCAAATGTGAGTGTTGTTGTCCCCAAGACTCTTCTAAGGTGATACTTTGTTGATTTCACGGCTGCTTCCCACTTGCCACCAAAATGGGGTGCTCGTGGTGGTGAAAAGCTCCATTGAGTCCCATTGGTGGCGAGAGCAGCCTGAACCAGCTGATTTTCTCTGAATGCTCAGTGATAGATCTTCTCTAAGACCTCTGCTGCGCCCACGAAGGTGGTGGCATTGTCACTGTACATGATAGCTGGAATACCAGGTCTTCCGGTGAATCTCTTGTAGGCTCCGATGAAGGGGTCAGTTGTCTGTCTGGTGACTAGCTCTCGGTGAACTGCTGATGTGGTGAAGCACACAAAAACTGCAATGGGCACTGACCCTGGTTGTGCATTCATTGGTCTCCATTTGAGGATGGCGAATGGTTTTGCATAGTCCACCCCTGTGTGGAGAAATGCTCTTGCTGGTGAGATTCTCGTTGCTGGTAGTTGACCCATCTGTTGCTGGGCTTGTCTTCCTCGGTGTCTGGTTCAGATGTCACCGCGTTGAATATACGCTCTAACTGTGCCTCTGCCACCGATTATCCAGTACCTTTGACGTGTGTAAGCCAAGGTGAGTTGAGTTCCTCCGTGGAGTGTCTTGCGGTGAGCTTCTTCGATGACTAGTGTGGTGAGGCGTGACTGGCGAGGCAATATTATTGGGTGAATTTCATCTGAATTTAGCTGCGAGTTCTTGAGGCGTCCTTCAAGTCTCATAATCCTTTCATTGTCTAGTGTGGGTGTCAGCTTGACTAGTTGATGATTTCTCGGCATTTGGTGATTTTTCTGTAGTACTCGAATGGCTGGCCCAAAGTATTGATGTTGGGTTATCTTTACCCAAAATAACCTCGCGTCGTTGAGTTCTCTTATTGTCAAGACAGGCCCCGGGGGCGTTGGCTGCCTCCTGAATCTGTCGATAGCTCTGTTGACCGTAGGTGTTACGACTAGTAATTCAGCCATCGTCTGATACCTGTTGAGTAGCTCCGCAATTTCGTTGATTTTAATTGCAACTGGATGTGCTGGTGCTGGTTTTGCTTCTCTGGCTACCTCTGGGTTGTCGATGGCTGGAGCATCGATTGATGATTGTGGCTATTCTTCAGGATCCTGATTGATCCATTCAGGTCCTGACCACCATAGTTGATGATCTGCTAGCTGGCTCGGTGATATGCCTCTGGGGGCACAATCAGCTGGATTCTCCTTTCCACTGACATGTCTCCAGTTAGCATTCGGGAGAGTTTCCTGGATCTTGACGACCCTGTTGTGAACGAAGTCCTTCCATCTTGATGCGTGGCTCCTGATCCAAGCTACTGTTACTGAAGAGTCAGACTAGAGATAGGTGTCTACGTGGTCGACGTTGGAGCATTTGCTTCGTTGATGCCACTAGCTGAGTCAGTAGAAGAGCCGCTGTAAACTCTAGACGAGGGATGGTCATGCGCTTGAGTGGTGCAACCTTCGTCTTCGCACATGCCAGCACTGATGATGTCGAGTCGCTGATGTTTTTGGTGCGAATATACACCACTGCACTCATAGCGACCGTTGAAGCATCTGCAAATCCATGGATTTGGATGTTGAGTGTCTCTGTTGAAATTCTCAGCCATCTAGGTACAGTTACTCTGTCCAGGTCATTGAGATTCTCTCGGAATGTCTTCCAGCATTGAACATAGCTGTCTGGAAAAGAATCATCCCATTTTAATTTCAATCTCCAAAGATCTTGTAAGAAAATCGTTCCCTGAACGACAACTGGTGCAATAAATCCCAGTGGATCAAAGATCCGGGCTATTTCAGAAGAGACTGCTCTCTTGATGATTGTCGTCGTATTGAAATCCTTTGTATCGGAATGTGTTGGTGGATTGATGCCAACACAATTCAAGTACCTTGGTGACTGACTCCTCAAACTGGATAATTTCTTCTTCAGTTGATAGGCCCAACTCATGCAGGGCCTCTGGACAATTGCTGCTCCACTTCTGCTTCTGAGAGAAGCCTCCTGCATGGCAAAGCCCTTGTAGCTGCGTTGCGATCTCCTGGAGACCGTCTTCTGTCTCTGCACCGCCGTAAATGTCGTCAACGTAACGACCTCTGGTGAGTGTCTCTACTGCTGCTGGGAAGCGGTGCCCTTCATCTTCTGCTAGTTGTTGAAGAAGTCGTAACGACGTCCATGAAGAACAATTTAGTCCATAGGTGACTGTCGTTAACTGGTGGGTAACTGGTTGTTGATTCTCGTCGATTCTCAGGATTCTCTTAAGATCCCAGTCATCTTGGTGAGTTCGTATCTGGTGGAACATCTTGACAATATCCGTGCCAAACACGAGCCTGTGCCTCCTCATCCACGTCAGGATAACCATGGCATTGTTCTGCAATTTTTCACCAGAATACAGTACATCATTAAGTGACATACCTGATGAACTGCGGCTGGAGCCATTGAATATGACTCTCAGCTTTGTGGTGATGGCCTCCTCTCTCAGTACCCCGTGATGTGGAAGATACTAGGCTGGCACGGGTTCTGGAGTCTCTGATGGTATTCTCATGTGCTCCAGTGCTGCGTACTCGTTGATGAACTCTCTGTACAACTGAGAGTATGCTTGATCTGTGTTGAGTGGACTCACGATCGATTTGAGTTGACGTGCTGCTTTAAATTTGGATTCTCCGAGCACTGCTGCTGAAGTTTTGAGGGGCAGTCTCACGATATATCGCCCGGTGTTGTCTCTGCTATGAGTTGCTGTAAAGTGCATCTCGCACTCGTACTCATCTGGTGAAAGCTCTGATGTTGATGATCTCTCGTTTGGCAGTTCTTCCTGGACCCAAAATTTCTGGAGAAACTTTAGAAGTTGTTCATTTAAAGATACTCGTACAGCTGATAGAGATACCTTTATTGAACAATTTGTGTATTCGATTGGTCCGGATAGTATCCAACCGAATACTGTGCGTTGGCCAACTACTCTCGATTGCTCTGACTTGACAACTTCATCCATGATGATCTGCCCATAGTTGTCAGCCCCTAGTATGATGTCGATTGGTCCAGGCCTTAGATAATGGGGATCGGCTAGTTGAAGATTCTGAAGTGAGCCGATCCTCGCTGATGAGCATGAGAATGACGGAATTATTGTAGTGAGCTTCTTTAGAATGTGGGCGTTGAGTTGCAGTTGATGAGTCCCATGGCTCGCTTGTAGAATGACTGAAACTATTCCTCTGGTGTGTCCTGAATTAATTCCACCAATTCCCACTAGCTCCACTGTTGATGCTCTTCTCTGTAGATGCAGTTGACTAACTAATTGTTCGGAGATAAACGATACCTCTGAACCCTGGTCGATGAGTGCTCTGGCTTTTGTCGTGAATCCTCTCGGTGATATTACTTTTACTGGTGCTGTTGCCAGCACTGACTGTTGATCTGCTTCTCCTTGGTTCATGTTCTGTGCTTTCACATTGATCATTTTGTTGTTGAAGTTCACTGCTACTGGTGGTGATGTACTGGATTCTAATGTTGAGGAATGATCAATGAGATGGTGACTGTGCTATTGATGTTGAATTCATTCACTCACTTTCCCCATGATCCTCTTGCTGCCTGGACGTTCCGGTGGAACTCTGGATGGGCTCAGCTCGAGTTCGTCGGGCTTGAGGCGGGCTCATCGTCCATGAGCTTTCTCCATGGATGAGAGTGTGGTGATACCTGCTGCGTTTGTGGCCCTAAGCAGTTGAAACACAGGCCCTTGGTGATAACGATGTTGTTTTTCTTTGCTGGGGTGAGCTCAATGAACCTCTGGCAGGATGCGATGAAATACTTGTCCTGACAGTAGGCACAGCAGTTCCTTGGAAGTGACCTCTCTGGCTCCTTATTTTCCTGCTGATGAGTTGCTGCTGTGTAGGTGCTCCTTTTCTTTGGTGGCGCTGACTTCTTCGTGGCTGTGTTGAGTTCCTTTGTTGATAATTCCTCTGCCGCAGGCCTCGATGAACGCCACAAACTCCTTAAGGCTTGGGAAATCCTTGGAGTCTCCTAGCTTTAGTTCCCACTGCTTGAGTGTCTCTGCATCAAGAGATCTCCTCAGCAAATGGGCTATCAGCTGTTCAGCGATGTTCTCCTTCGTTAACCCCGTCACGTTTTGCAGTTGATCGAGGATCTCCAATGCTGCTATTCCATTGGCGCTGAGGTTCTCTTCTGTCGCTTGGGTGATTTTCGGTAGCATCAGAATTCTGCTGAACAGCGACTGAGCGACGAGCCTAGGATCCTCGTACTTCCTGGTGAGTTTCTGCCAAGCCTTTTCATAATTTTCGTCCTTGGCCTGAAAGGTTGAGAGGAGAGCTGCTGCAGGACCTCTCAGGCATCCCTTCAGTCTCACCAATTTCTGTACTGGTGGAATTGACGTTAGGTTTTCCACCAATGACAAGAAAAGGTCGCTAAACTCTTTCCATTCTTCCGGTTTCCCATCGAATGGCTTGATGTCAAGACGCTTTAGTTGATTTGCCTGGTTTTGATCCGTTGAGTTGCTCGTTGACTCCTTCTTCTTTGCAAATTGACCCTTCAGCCGAGCAATAAGCATCAAGGCTTATCGTCTTGTCATGGTGGCTCGTTCATGTATCCCCTCGGTGACGTATTCGTGATCAGAGGGAAGATACTCGCCTAGAATGGTATAAATTTGAAAATATTCGTTTCACTCTGCTTCGATTAGTTCTTTGTGTCTGTCTAATTCCTCTAAGGTGAGGTCCTCTTCGCGTTCAACGTCCTGCGGAAGGTCATGATCGATCTCCATCAGAGTCTCTACCTTGAATGTTAATAGTCTTAATTGACCTTCCTGCTGCATGGTGAGTGCTGTTTTTGGAGCTGCAGGCGTTGACGTTTGTTGAGCGGGCTCTTTTGATCCTGACGATCCACTTGGACTGTTGATGTCCTCATGAGTGGTGATCGGCTTAGTTATGACTGCCTCATTTGTTGCTGACAGTCCCTCTTCTTGTGTGACTGGCACAATTTCCTCACTATTGCTCTCTATTTGTTGAGTTTCTTCTGTGGGGTCGTTGACCTGAGTGTCGTCTGCCATGGTGATTGTCCGTGCTAAGTTGTCGGTATAGGTGAGTTACCGGCTGTTGAGGGCCTACGGGTGGCTGTTGAGTTACCGACTGCCGAGACTTGGGTGAGTTACCGACTGCCGAACTTTTGATGAGTCGCCTATTGTGTGGCGCACGTGGCCAAACGTTGATAGGTTTCGGCGACACTCGTCTTTCCCGAGATTTCCCGATCTCCGACACTGATACACTCACTATGTCCTTTGTTACCCCGTCGCCCTTGCGGGTGTAAACAAAGCGAATGTTCTGGAACACTGTCCGTTGATTTGCCTGTGCGAACTCCGAAAGTTTATTCGAAACGAGGCGTCCCTTTAATTTTTCACAACACTTTACGCAGGTTTTCACCCACTATCCGGCTCGAAGGACCACTGTTTGGTGAATGACTAGTTTTAGGGTGGATGTGGGATGAAAATGTGGAGGGACATGTTGAGAAAATTACTGATGAGCCGGATTTAAAAAATCACACTTTATTTTGTGGGATCGAACCACTTTATCAAAATTTATGTACACTCTTTGGTAATATGTAATTTCACTGGTGATAGTCTAATTTCACTGATGATTGTCCTTGCACGTTAATTTGGTGAGTCACTGAATTTAAACTGAATTTAATCAACAAAAGTGATGTACTGAACAAAGGTATTAAATTTGGAATAGTAATTGACTGAATTTACTATATCATTATCGTGATGATACTGAAACACAACTGAAGTGACTGACTCTTCCGGGTGCCGCGCTAACCTGTGTTTGTTGACCCGAGGGGTCATGGAGATTTTCGAAGATGGCCGAGTTAGTTGACCGCGACCAATATAGAGATTTCAGCGGCATTTCGAAAACGTTGTTTGATGTTTTGACGATCAGTAAGCCAATATAAATAATGGAAGCCATTGATCCCAATCCTTCTGATTATCGGCGACAAAATTGGCCAAGTAATTGAGAATCGTACGGTTCAGTCTTTCTACCATTCCATTAGACTGTGGTCGTAATGGAGTTGTCCTGGTTTTTCTCATGCCCAGTAATTTCATGACTTCCTAAAAGACTTTGGACTCGAAGTTCCTGCCGTGATCCGAGTGCAATTCATGTGGAATGCCGAAACGTGAGAATAATTGGGTCACCAATGCTTCCGTCACAGTTGTGGCTTGATGATGGGGGAGAGCAATCGCCTCAGGCCACCTTGTGAAGTAATCCGTAATAACCAACACATACCGATTTCCACGTGATGATTTAGGCAATGGACCCAGGATGTCCACAGCGACTCTCTCAAATAGACTCCCGACATTATAAATTTGTAATTCAGCTGTACTCTTTTGTCTGGGACCATTTTTAGCAAAGCAAGTTGTACATTTCTTGCACCACATCTCAACATCAGACTTGCAAGAAGTCCAGTAGAATTTTTCCCTGATTTTAGCCAGCATTTTATTCACTCCAAAATGCCCACCAGTTGGTGAATTGAGTACCTGAGGGATGTGACTTCTGGGAATGACCAACTGATAACGAATGCTCCTCTGATTCGGAGCTTCCCACCGGCGGAAGAGCCTGCCGCCGAGTAATTCCAGTGAATCCCAGCAGAGTAGATATAATTTCATCTCGTAATCGAGATGAGAAACTTCTTGCCACTCAGAATGACGTCCTTTCTCTTTGCAGCGCACGATGATTGACAAAATTGGATCGTTCAACTGAATTCGCGTTCTTCATCAGGCTGACAAATTGTGCGGTAGACTTTAACAGTTGATTCATCCTTTTTTTTGTTCAATTTGTCGCATTTTTTCCAATCGCAAGGTCTTCTAGACAAGGCATCAGCATTTCGATGTTTTCGACCAGGACGGTCAATAATTTCGAAGTCGAACATGAACAATGACTCGAGCCACCTTGACATCAATCCTTCTGGATTCTTGAATGATAATAACCACGTCAAGGCGGCATGATCAGTTCTGATCAAGGATTTCCCACCAAGTAAGTAATGACGAAAGTGTTCAACTGCCATGACAACTGCCAATAGTTCTTTCCTTGGCACACAGTAATTCTTTTGAGCGTTATTGAGACATTTGCTCCAGTAGGCGATGACTCTCTCATTTCCATCTTGAAGTTGTGACAGAGTAGCTCCAATAGCAAACACCGAAGCATCAGTATTTAGAATAAATGATAAGTGCGGATTCAGTTGAGCTAAGATTGGGAAAGATGTGAGGACTTCTTTTAAGCTTTCAAAAGCTGTTTGGCTAGCATCATCCCAGATGAAAAGTCTTGAGTTCTCAGTGAGACGATGTAACAGTTTTGCGATCATCACAAATCCTTTGATGTATCTGCTGTAGTACGAACACAATTCTAAGAAACTTTGGAGGTCAGATTTAGAAGTTGGAAAAGGCCAGCTGACGATAGACTCAATCTTACTTGGATCACTTTTAATTCCATCACCTGAAACAACATGTCCGAGATACAGCACTTCATGTTGAAAAAATGTGCATTTCTTTGGATTGATTTTCAGTTTTGCTATGGAAAGTCTGGAAAGAATCGTTCGGTAATTCCTGAAGTGTTCTTCCGCATCTTTCCCAAACACGATAACATCGTCCAAAAACATAGCTTGGATAGTTTTAATAACTCAATCGTAACAATATGTTCAGAAATTATTGATTAAATACAGGTTTGAAAATTCACATCCTCAAGGAACTCCAACGTTAACTACACAGGCATCTAATCATGAGCGCAAACTGAGAGAATCGGACGTTGCGAGTGAGATCTATGTTATGACAGACGAGAGAATGAATTGTCCATACAGAAAAGTAGTAGGTAGCTTACTATAATCAGCAGGGACGACTAGACGAGACATTTCCTACGCGGTCAATGTGTTGAGCAGACACCAGGTGAGTCCAACAGATGAGGATTGGAAAATGATGAAGAGAATACTAAGGTATTTGAGAGGTACTACTGCTCTAGATCTGAGATATGCTGGTGAGACTGATGTGATTGAAGCATATTCAGATGCTAGCTTTACTGATTGCAAAGGATCACTGACTACGTGTGGTTTTGTAATTAAACAGTTTGGTGATTCAATTATTTGGAGAACTCATAAACAGTCTTATGTAGCCCTATCTTCGTGTTAAGCAGAATATGTTGCGATGAGCGAAGCGAGTCAAGAGATGTTGTCTATTTTCAATTCTCTGAAATTAATATTTCTACCCCAGTTGCCTATGACATTGTGGTGCGATAATAAGGCAGCGACGAGTAGTGCAGAAGTAAGTGGGGGAAATAAATTAAAACATATTGTAGATGTCAAAGCCCATCACATTAAAGAATGTGTGAAACTCAATCTGATCAAAGTAAACTGGATCAGTTCCAGAGGTCAATTAGCTGATGTGTTTACCAAACCTCTGGCGTTTGAACTGCACAGGCGCCAAGTTGACAAAATAATGAATGTGAATATCTAATTATTGTCTTACTGTCTGTTCAGTGAAAAAGAGTACGTAAACTTGATGATGGCCTTATATGGAGGACGACTCAGAAGCCGTCGGGAGGGAGTGTTGGAATCGTGCGCATGCGCAAATCTCGTCCCAGGCCGGTTGCGGCGCGTGTGCGATACT